AAATGCATGTAATCCCACATTAATAAAGCTTTCCAATAGAGCAAATAGTCCACAATAAAAAATACTTGCATATTATGTTTCTCTTGTATCTGTGCTTACCTTAATAAGAGATATCGAAGCCTTTAGCATATAAAGTATCATCGAAAAATTGTCCTCCTTGCATTTTTAGCTGCAAAATCATTAATTAAGCCTTTAACATCAATTTTATCTATAAAATCATTTTCAATGGATATCAAAGCTAGTCCATTTAGTCTTTCTTGTGACATGGTCGATCTCAAATAAGATTTTAATAATTTTAATTTTGAAAAACTTCTTTCTGCAGATGCGACTGTAACAGGTATAGTCAATAATATTCTATAAGCAATACATGCATTTGGAAAACAATTTCGTATTTTTAAGAAATTCAGTATATCAATAGCCAACTTTGTTTCTTTTGGTAAAATATATCTTAAGATTTTCAGTTCTCCATATAAATCTTTCCCATCAAGATCGGAACATGTTTTATATTTTAGAACAATTTCAAGATTATCACAACATGCTTTCAAATTATTATCATCTAATGAGTTTAACTTTTCTGAACCAAACAAAAATCCAAAAATATCTTCATATGCTTTATATTGCTCAAACCTTTTCTTTAGTGAACCAATAACTTAATCTACAATACACAAAAAATAATTGATTCTAAAAGATTCTTCAGCTGATTGTGTTGTCTCCTCATTAACATTCTCATCAAATTGTCTTTTTCTACGGATTTGACGTTTTACTTGAAATACAGAATCAATTTCCATTTCAGTAGCAATTTCTTTAGCAATTGTCATAGCTTGTGTGAACCCAACTTCTCTATACTCCTCAAAAAACCTAATCAATCCTTTTACTTGATCTATAGCAATATCAATAAGCATGTCTTTAGATTGTAAATATTTGCTAATTAAGTTAACAGCAAACAATATATCATACCAAATAATCATACTTAATAAAAATTCAAAATTTTCAATTCCATGTGTTGCTAAAGAATCTGCTTCACTTCTTATTTTGGAGTCATTATCAGTTTCTGCTAACTGAAGTAGTGCTTCTCTTATTTCAAGCGTTTGGAATCTAATTGCTTTAACGCTTTCAATATGGCTTTCCCAACGTGTAGTCGACAATGGTTTCACAGTTAAACCTTTTACATTATTTATCAAAATTTGCCATCGCTTTGTTGAGTGAGAAAATAATGTATAAATGCGTTGTATCACTCCAAAAAAGTCTTTTGCTTTACCACAACAATTTGCCATGTCACAAAGTGTTAAATTAAGACTATGACAACCACAAGGCGTGTATAATGCTCTAGGATTTATTTCAAGTACTTTTTTTTGTACACCTTGGTGTCTCCCTTTCATATTAGACCCATTATCATACCCTTGACCTCGTACATTATCAATATCAAGATTAAGAGCTTTTAGCATATTTTGCAATTCTTCAAAAAGTCCTTGTCCAGATGTATCATTTACTTTTAAAAATTCTACAAAAAATTCTTCTATTTGTAATATTAAAGTCATTTGTTCTTGGTGACTAGCATCCGGAGTGCAATCAAGTATTACTGAAAAATATTTAGCTTCTTTAATTTTTTGAACTATTGCACATTTGATTTTAGAAGCTAACATACTTATCAATTCATTTTGAATGCTATGACCAAGATAATGATAATGAATTTCACCATGGTCAATACGTCGAACATGTTCTTGCATTACGGGATCCCATTCTGCAATCATTTCAATTAGGCCTAAAAAATTTCCATTATTATTTTGATAAATTCTCTCATTTGTGCCTCGAAATGCCAAGTTATGTTTAGCAAGATATTTAACAACAGAAATTATTCTTTGTAATACTTTCTTCCAATGTTCCTTCTCTTTATTAATTTGCCCTTGAATATTTTTATCGATTGTTTTATTATTCTTTAATCTTATGCGTAAATCAAGCCAAGTACTCATGTTAATGATGTGCTCATTAGTTGTTTCATGTTCTTTAAGCCTAGCACTAAGATGCATCCAATCATTAAATCCTTCATTTATTAAAAAACTTTTCTTAAAACCATTTTTAAACAGTTTACAACAAAAACAAAATACTTTATCGATATCCTTTGAATAAACTAACCATTCCCTATCACATTTTTCTCCATTTGATAAATGTCTAGTGTAAAATGCCGAAGAAAAACATCTTCCTAATTTATCTTTAGGACCTTTTTCGACTAATAGATCTCTTATAGGGCCATTTTCCACTAATATATCTCTAGATTTTGTGTCCAAATTATCCCAAGTTCTTTGATCATAAATATTCAAATTCATGAGCATGGACTGATTAGGTTGTTCATTGCCTAAAATATTTTCATTCTCATTTTCATTTTCATTGTCAATATCAATTTCATTCTGATTCAGATTCTCATTTTTACCTTCATTTTCATTTTCATTTTCATTCTCATTTTCATTATCATTTTCATTATGATTCTCATTTTCATTATCATTTTCAGTATGATTCTCATTTTCATTCTGATTCTCATTTTCATTATCATTTTCATTATGATTCTCATTTTCATTATCATTTTCACTATGATTCTCATTTTCATTATGATTCTCATTTTCATTATGATTCAAATTTTCATTCGCATACTCATTCAGGCCCAAATCATTAATATTATCATTTTCAATTGAATTTTCAACTAAATCTTGTGTTTCTCTAACAATAAATTTATCAAGCGCTCCACTTTGAGTTTGGACAAATTGTTCAATTTTTCTTTTTTTCTTGCGTTTATCATATCCAGATGGATGCTTTCTTGGAGGCATTTCTATAATAAAACAAAAAATATCACAATCAAATTGAAAGAAGTTAAAAGATTCGGAACAATACAACCTGTTGAACAGCTCCGGCTGAAGAATACAAAGCGGCAACGGCAGCACCGAAAATGTAAGACCCACTTGGCCGCTTCAGCTTGGATCTCCTGCAATACAAGAAAAAAATCTCAAATCAGCAACAAAACCCTAAAAACGTAGTGAAAATGACGGATTTATGGATGATAATAAAAACGTAGAAATATTGTTAGATGTATAAAATCTATCGCTACATGCATAAAAATCAATTTCCTATCTTAAAATCTTTCTGATTAATTCAAATGTGATTTCAAAATTAACTAATATTAACTATTCACCGTAGTTAAAGAAATCAAATTAGAAAGACATGTCTTGATTGTTGAGTTAGTGATAAAATTTATATTCTAATTTCCACACATTAAGCTATGGTAATTACAAATAATTAACAGTTTCATGTTTCCTATTAATATAGTGTTGACTGTTGATCAAACTGCGAATAATTTTGGTTTTTCCAAAAAAAATCATTTTGTGAATGTTAGAAGCTTGGTCCATAAGGACCATAACCATATCAAAGTGTTCATAAGCGGGATCAAAGCGCAAATAAGATGAAAACTAAGGTCTTAAACTTAGCCACAATTTTAGTTTTGAATAATAAGCAAAGCGGTCATCAAAAATAAAAGACAACAGAAAAGATTATAAAAAAAAAAGAGGAGGATGGGGACCGAACTGGATTTGGGGCTGGCCTCGCGGCCTCGCCGCCTCGGCCTCGGGCGCCGGTGCCGCGGTGGATGGAGTCGAAGAGCCGGAGAGGAGGCCGGAATGGAGGATGGGGACTGGACTGGATTTGGGGGCTGGCGGCGGCGGCGGTCGCTGAGCCGCAGAGACTAGAGAGAAGAGGAGGATGGGTGGCCGGTGGCGGTGGCCGGTGGGGGATTGGATTTGGAGAACTGGGTGTTGGCAGCTAGGGTTTGAGAGTTGAGAATTTGAGTGAGAAATGAGAACAAGTGAAGAATTGGGAGCTGATGGGTTTTTGAAAGAAGATTTTGGAATAGAGGGTTGAGATTAACCTGGGTGTAAAATAGACGGTCCATATTTTTTCTTCATATATATATTAATATACTTATATAAAAAAATTGGGGGCCCCCAAAATTGGGGGCCCTGAGCGGGCGCTCACCTGGAGCAGCCCCAGGGCCTGCCCTGATTCAACTCTTTGGTCATTATTCCCTTTAAAGACAAAGACTACATAAAGAATGCAGACTTCGAACCATAAGGATATTCAATCACTTCAATAGAGATTTACTTTATACAAAAACTTATGATAATGATAATATTATTAAATACTTTTATATTCCCAAAAGTGTTTTCCCATTTTTAGATAACCCACTAAACTTATTGTCCCAAATAACAATATTATTAAATAAGATCTTTTAAATATGACAACATATAAGTATTGTGAAAACATTTATTTCTTACTCCAAGTTTAATGGACTTCATAATCATAATTTTTATGTTCTTTAACTAAAGATGGAGATTCTTACAACAGAGACTTATAATAGAAATGGATTTCATCGGTCATTATGTTGGAGAAAGTAAACAAAATGTACCATCAGGAGTAGGGGTGCAAAACAATCCGGATATATCCAGACCGATCGCAACCTTATCCATTTAGAAAGCGAATATGGTAGGAAAAGATTGCAACCATCCGGATACGGTTTCGGTTCAGGTTTAGTTTTGGGTTTTCATTCGGTTCCGGATACAGTTTCGGTTAGGTTTTAGTTTTGAGTTTTCATTCCGGATAAGGTCCGGATATGTATTACTCACCGACTCAGCTAATTTTTATACTTGGGTGTTGGGTCGGGTCTCTATATCTACGACCCATCTTATCCTCTACCCGACCCGATTTAAAGTAAATGAAAATCCTCCCGATAGCGAGATCAAAACCTTTCGCTGTTCTTCTGCCCTAAAATCGCCTTCGACCTCAGCCGTCTCCAAGGCTCCGCTTTCGACCGACTTCAAGCCTCCGCCTTCAAGCTCGACCGACCATCAACAGCGACCTCCGAAAATTTTCCTCCTCGGTTTCTTCTAACACTAAGGTGAATTCGAAACTCTTAATTGGTTGAATGAAAAGCCCTAATCTGTATGATAAAAAAAATCCTCCTCCGCCTTCGACTTCAGCCGTCTCCAAGGCTCCGCTTTCGACCGACTTCAAGCCTCCGCCTTCAAGCTCGACCGACCATCAACAGCGACCTCCGAAAATTTTCCTCCTCGGTTTCTTCTAACACTAAGGTGAATTCGAAACTCTTAATTGGTTGAATGAAAAGCCCTAATCTGTATGATAAAAAAAATCCTAATTTGCTGGCCCTTCGTTGAGTGGAAAACCCTAATTTGTTTGATAAAAAGCCCTAATTTGCTATCCTTTATTGACTGAAAACTGAAAAGACCTAGTTTGTTTGACAAATGATTTAGCTTAAAATTTTGTGAAGTTCTAGAGCACATGCACCTTGAATTAAAGCAGTAAGTTGTAAGCTAAAACTTGCTTCGGAATTAGGAACTACAAGCTACTAAAATTAGTGCTAAAAAAATTCAACTGATACCTAAGTGCCAATTCCACCCCTATTCCCAATACCCACAAACACACAAATAAACAGAGAACGCACATTGATGTGTAACTGTAAGTTTGTAATGTCAATTTTTTAAAATTATATACCACGAGAGAGTGCATATCTGAATATGTGTAGCAATGTTCTGGTATAGTCATACCCTATTCATATCCGTTTCCCAAATATCCGATTAATATCCGTATCATATCCATATCCGACTCTCTAATATCCGGACCATAACCGTTTCCGTTTAGTGCGGATATGATAATGCCTTTTTTTTACCGATGAATATCCGAACCGTATCCGTATCTGTTTTCAAAAAGCGGATATGGATATGATAAGTGTCATATTCGAACCGTATCCGAACCGAATGCACCCCTAATCAGGAGGTACTAAAAGACAAACTAGAAAATGGGACACAATTCTATAGTTGACGGCTAATATATACTAATGAAAAATATATTCTTTTATCATTAGAAAAAAAAGAGAATAAGTAATATTCTTTTATTCATTGAACTATTTCTAATAATTTCACTATTACAAGGAACACTCAAAATTCTTTCAAATACTTCACTCCATTTTTTTCCTTTTGAGTCACTTTATCATTTTCATGTCGATAGACTATTTTGAAAGTGAAAAAATGTATGAACACGTGCAATGCACGTGCACTATGTTGCTTTTATTGAACTCATAAAAATGTAACCAAAATTTTTAAAAAATATATCAAAATATGTAATTAAATTAAGTATATGAAATTCCAACTTAAACTCATTTCTTATAAAATTTTCTAGCGTGATCAATCTTTCATAAACATTAAATTTATTTAACTGTCATCAATTTGTGCGACAATTATTTGTACATGCAAATAATTATGATTTTTAATTTTTAATTATTTTGATTCATATAGAACATGCATTTATGATCTTAAATTCATAAAATACAATCCAACCATATTAATTTTTATACATTAGCATGAGTAAATCTACAATTTAAATATCGTAAACAACATGCATTTCACAACATATCATTCATGTAAAGAAAAACAATGAGAACGCAAAATCGTAAATTATGATAAAAAATAAATTTAGACACTTAAAAGTAAATCACAACATTGTTCAGTCATAACAGCATAGGATTGAAGCAATCTTATACCAATAGTATATACTATGTGACATGTTTTTGAAGAATATCCTTAGGAAACCAAGCCCACCCTTTAAACGTCCCAAAGCCCGCGTTTGTTACTCCGACTCTAGACGACCCGACATGACCTGATTTTTGCCACCTGAGAGGGAGCACTGCACAGTCTGAACCCAAAACCCTAACCAAAAACCCTACAATTCTTGATCCCTTCAAAAAACCCAAAAAAGAGGAAAAAAGAAAAAACATCATTAGTATTCTTCGTTTTCACGGTGCTGATGTTCGATTATTATTATTTTTGGTTCTTAATTTTCGGATTGAGGCAGAGAGATGAGCAGTGATTCCCAAAGTAATGTATTTTCTCTTTCTTGTTGATTTTGCCCTGAAATCCTCTCTCAAATACTTAGTTCTGATTCCTTGATGCTTGCTATTGATAGCAGTATATTGTTAATAAATTGTAGAGTTTGAGATATGCTTTAAACGTGATGTTATAGACGGGGGATGTTATTTGTAATTTTTTTTCATTTTTTATATTTTTATTTAATAAGTATTTCTATATCTCTCATATGGTTTCAAGAAAGTTAACACAATTCAATTTATATTGTTATTTTCAAAATGTAATGTGGATGAAAGTATAGATGGGAGAAGTCAATTGTAATTTTATTCTCTAGTTTTTTCTTTAATTTACTTTTTATGGTTTTTAGAAGAATAAGTGACAGATTGAAATTTTACTGACTTAACGTTTAACAATAAAAATATATTACAAATTAATCATTCATCCTATTTCAATAAAAATAAAATTATGTGAAAGACATGCAATTTCAATGCTGATATTTAAACATTCATGATCATATTCCAATGAATAATACTAATACAGCTCGTATAGTAAATTACGTTGCTCCCACTGAAGATAAAATGAGAGAATATGCTAGGATGATTTGGGCATGTACAATGGAGACTTTTTAGTACACCGGTTAAGAAAAAAGTGATAACATTATATTTAATGGGTAAAAAAGATCTAGAAATAGACCCAAAAGGACTCGGTTAGAAGCAAGTAAGAAGCATATGATTATGGGTGACTTAATGGAGGAGATGATCCATAATAGAACAGAATGGAAACTTAGGATTCATGTACCCGACCCCAAACATTTGAAATAAAGGCTTTGTTGTTGTGGTATGATCATATTCTAATGAAAAAGTACAATTTTGGAAATGAGAGGAAAGGGTATGGTTTGAGAAAAAGCTGAACTTTGGAGGAATTAGAGAAAATATCTTGCTCTCATGGTCCTATGGATGTATTGTTAAAATGTTCACTAAAGAGAAAATCATATTACTTAAATTTATGTCATTTTTAATATCTGCTCTCATGTAGCTTTTTTTTATTGCAACAGGACTGAAATCATATGCTTCCATTCATGGGACACCCCCAAGCCTCGCCTCTGGCCATACCTTTGTTATGCAGTGGTCAAGAACCCTAAAACTCAAGCAACCAGATGCGTTCCGAAGGGTTACTGAGTTTGGAGATGAAGTGGATAATCGGTTATATGTCCATGGGGTCTAGGCCATGAACAAGAAGCATAAGCCTCCACAGAGAAAATCAAATCAACACCAAATCAACACCCAGTTCCTTCATGTAACCTAACAATGGAAATGGTAAATATTTTTTCCTGTCTTTACATCGTCAAGTTCTTGACATGCAAGTAAAAATAAAGTTTATATAACCATTTTAAATTCTTGAAGAGAAGGAAAAAAGAACGTGTTATTTTATTTTTTAGAGTAAGTAAATTGTCTCCTTGAATAAAAAGGAATTTTATAGATTTTATATTAATATAAGTTATGTAGATGTTTGATATGTTAATGATTATCAGATATCCCCAGATCTGATGGTGAAGATGAGAAAAAATCGTGCGACACTAGTTAACAATGTTACACTGCCTAGATCCACACTTGCTAATTTAGCCTTCACTGTTGTCTTCATGAAACATTCCATGGACAAACACCACGTTTTATATTAACCTCCTTTCAGAATGGTGTCCCAGCCTGAGATCCAATACATAAAAGTCATGTACAGATCTCTTTGATACCTATGGTCAGAAATGCAATGATATTCTCACGAAACTTCACAAAGAGAATGCAGACAAGTTTTCGCTTGACCTAGAACAAGTCATTGGGGGTCAAGGTAGATATTCAGGCTTATGATGATGGCAACAACTTCGCGGCAGGAATTTTATATTTCACCTTTCGATTTGAGTTAATCCCATATCTGTTTGAGGAGTTTGTAAGCTGCATGAGTAATCATCACTTTTTCCTTTTTTTTGATACCTCTTCCCTCCCCTCTGTGAAACCTTTAAACTTTCGGGAAAAGATGGTCATTATTACTCGTGCAGCTTACAAACTCCTCAGGCGGACATGAGATTAACTCATATCGTAAGGTGAAATATAAAATTACTATCGCGAAGTTCTCGTTGGTGCCATCATCATACACCTGAATACCTACCTTGATCCCCAATGGCTTGTTCCAGGTCAAGCGAAAGCTTGTCTGCATTCTCTCTGTGAAGTTTCGTGAGAATATCATTGTATTTTTGATCATATGTATCAAAGAGATCTGTGCATGTCTTTATGTATTGAATCTCAGGTTAGGACACCCTTCTGAAAGAAGGTTGATATAAAACGTGATGTTTGTCCATGGAATGTTTCATGAAGACAATAGTGGAGGCTGAATTAGCAAGTGTGGATCCAGGTAGTGTAACATTGTTAACTAGTGTCGTACAGTTTTTTCTCATCTTCGCCATCAGATCTGGGGATATCTGATAATCATTAACATATCAAACATCTACATAACTTATATTAATATAAAATCTATAAAATTCCTCTTTATTCAAGGAGACAATTCACTTACTCCAAAAAGTGAAACGACACGTTTTTTTTCCTTCTCTTCAAAAATTTAAAATGGTTATATAAACTTTGTTTTCACTTGCATGTCAAGAACTTGACGATGTAAAAACAAATGGAAGGATATTTTCCATTTCCATTGTAAGGTTACATGATTGTTCATTCACGCCTTCTTCCTTATCTCAATAGTCTACAAGACTTCCATCTTCAGGATAAAACTGAAAGTCCTGGTTGGCAACTGAAAACAGCTATGGCAACAATGAGGATGCTCTTTTTAGGGGGAAATCTTGCTGGTTAAAACCACAGGGTGCCTGCTATAGCATACACATAGTTGCTTGTCAAATGTAGCTTTCCTTCGTCGAGCACTGTGATTGCAAATGAACCTGCAGGTTTGGTCATATTACATTTTAAGCATTGATCTTTTAAATGACAATTTAAATCTATAATATATATATTATATATCATCCATGGGCGATGTCCTATTTGATAAATACATCTGATCTCAAAACTCTATTCTGATTCACCAATATGAGAAATGGTCTGAATCGGGTACGTGTAATCTCATTATCATTTTACTGGACCACTTTTAGTGTTGGTTGACATTATTGAGACATACTCACAGAACCTTAGGAGATGAAGGATTCTTTCCTCGCAATCAGGAGCAACTTTAGTTTCATCTAGGCACTAATTGGTCGATCATAGTCAACAAATACTTCCAAAAAACCAGGCTCTTTAGACAACTCTTGCTCTGAGGTTGCTGCAATTGACCCTTTTCAACTCCGGAATTTGCTATGATTGCATTTATAATTTGATGCAAGATATCTTCCAATTAAAACCTTGTCTGAATATGATTGGTACGATATTTCTTTGTAGGTCAGCTCTAGAATGTGTATTTAGCTAATTTATGCCTGATAACTTCGTGCCACATTCATGAGTCAGGTTAAGAAACAAAGTAGCCTCCAATACTCTTTTCCTAATAAGAACAACATAGGTTGCTAGTCTCTTATTGACAAAGTTTTAAATTTTGACACTCACCATTTGCAAACAGTAAAGTCACTTGGTATTATAGAGGTTGTGTGATAAAGGCGAACTGTACTTCATTTCAGAATTCATACTGTTGCTGTCATAACGACTAAGGATGCAACATACATATTGCTGTTGGTATTCATTCGAGTGGGAGAGATTTCTAGTTATGCATAGTGCATCAATATTGGTCAGTAGTTAAATGGTGTTATTTCAACTATGTTCATTATCTCCTTAGTGAGATTAGACGGAATCAGGTTTCAATTTATGATTGAAAAGGCCTAGTCTACCATTGTGGTCTCGCATGACATGTTTGTTCACTCTCTTAGGAGCAATATTTTCCCTATGATTGCTGATTAACAGCAGAAATATGTTTTTGTTTTACCCTTTTTGGTAAATTACGAGAACAAACCCCTTACTATGAGGATATAGCCCCTTATACCCTCTAAACTATTCGATAATAGTTTTTACGCACGTGCAATGCATGTCATTAAATACTATTTTTATTAATTAATTAATTTATTTTTAATTATAGCTATGTCAGATTTATCTTGGCTTGAAATCTCTAAACTTTGGTTATGACACCTTCCATAATTTTATTTAAACATGTTGAACTTTTTTAAGAAATGGATTTGTGCATTAAATTGGGATCAATATGCTTTTACATACTTGTATACGCAATATAATTTTTATCAATTTGCGCATGATAAATTTGCTTATCGAATCGTCGCTCTCCAATCTTGTTTTTGTTACTAAATGTATGGTTAAATATGAAGAAAAATTAGATGTGTAGAAAAATAGATATAAACAAATTTCTACAAAGAGATCTTGACCTAAAGAATAATAGTATTGTGAAAGTGAAAGACACTTTAAGCATGTTATACCATTGCACATAATAAGTGGAAAGCCTAGCATTTGTATAAGCTCAGCACATAGCACACACTTTCCAAAAAATTGTAGGAGATAAAATATAAAAGCAATCAATGAGTACAATAAGATGATTTACCTAGAATTTGGCTTGAATGACATTGTTGGTTCGTTTAAAATAGGATTCACCGAAATTGGTTCCTAATTATTTGTACTCCATATATCACTTTGGAGCACTTTAATTTTCTGAAAGAAGACAAACCTAACCACCATTGATTACCATCCTTGTAAGTGCAAAGTAAGGAAAACTATCGGGTATTTAAATGCAATTAGGCCATTTATAAATTCTAGATGTTAATTTATTCTCAAAACATTTGCACATTTCAGAAAATCATGACACGTTACACACACATAGATATATAGACATATATGTCTACATATATACATATATGTGTATGTGTCTATATATATATATATATATATATATATATATATATATCAGTGTTGTAAAAAGCGGCAAAAAGCGGGGCAATCGCGGCGCTTATAGCGGAAGCGGGCCATCAACGCTACGCTTAAGGCTTTTGCGGCATGGTTAAGCGGTAAAAACCGCTTTGTGTTCGAAAAGCGCGTGTTAGCGGCTTTTAGCGGCAAAAAGCGCTTAAAAGCGCTATTACCCGCATCAGATTTTAACGAGAATCACCCCCGAACCCGACCCGAACCCGACCCGTACCCACTAATATTAAACCTCTCCCCTCATTTTGTGCCCTAGCCGCCTCTCCCAGTCTTCCCCAATCCCGACTGCCTCTCCCAGTCTCCCCCACTCCCTACCTCTCCCAGCTCCATCTCCAGCGACGAGTGACGCCAACTTCCAGCGACGCCGTCCAAGCTCCCACTCCCGATGACCGACGATTTCCAGGTTGTATAGCTGGTTTATGGAGGAACAAAGGTCTCATCTCATGCCTGTTACAATGCTCAATCTGATAACCCAATGCAATCGGGTAAGTATAGCTGGTTTTTTTTATGGCATATGGATTCTTTGTTCTCTTCGTTTTCTCTTTGGCATGATTTTGGGTTTCTCTGTGCTGGAGCATGTACTGCTGGCCGTGGTTTTTTTTTTCCTTCCCCAAGAAGCGGCAAATGGCTTTCGACTTCCTCTTTTTTTTTTTTTGACAAATCGGCTTCCTCTCTTCGTCTTACATGGATAGTGTGCTGGATATTACATGGCTGGAAGTGGCTGTTGGGCTTTTTTGGAAATTACTGTAGCAGGTTTTCCCTTCACTTACTGGAGATGGCGGTTTTTTCCACAACAAAAACACTGTAGCAGGGGATAGGGTTAATTTATGTATGTAGGTGATAATTTGGCTTACTGGAACTGGAGACTTGTTGTCTGCAACAGAGATAGGGTTAATTATCACACACATATTTCATGTTTAGGCATCAAATATGCATTTATATGATATTTAGATTTCTATATGATTTTTCTTATTATTTAGAATATTTAAATATATTTATATTTGACCGCTATTTGACTGTGCGCTATTTGCCGCTATTTTGCCGCTATAGCCTGCAATAGCCTAAGCGGCACCTCGCCGCGCCGCGACGCAATCCGCTATCAACAACCTTGATAAAAAAATTCTTTATTATTAATCACCAACAATTATAATTTTTTTAGAAATTGTCGCACCATAATAGATGAATACATCGCAACTAGGTTGACACCTATTCATTTATATCACTATCATTTGTAATCTTTTTAAAAATAATTTAATCACCGATTTACAGCTAAAAAATTACAAACTACTTTCTATTCTATTTCTTATCGTCAACTCATTATGTCTATATTCAATACTAGCTATCTGGTCGATGCCTTGAGTTCTCTTCTCGGACTTTCACCAATCTTGTAAGCACATTACCGACTGTACGGTAAACGGATCTAACAATATTTTGCGGTCGTTAATCAAACGTTATGATGTGCTGAAGGACGGATTCCGAAGCTACTGTAGAAACCTACACTGTTAGTAAGTCACGAGCCGTGATGGAAAGTATAAGATATAAAACGGTTTCATATACTCTCCACCAATACAAAATATCGAAATCGACATCATTTTGAGGTTTAACTAAAGGTGTAGCTAAATATTGTTTAATTTTAGAAATTTTCCTTGATGATGATCTAGTTCCAGATCCATGGCTACTACCAGTTAGCCTCTCTATCATCGATTGCATATCAAAAAGTTTACCTTTGTCTCGTCTTGGAAGCTCTAGGTTAAGGTGTACTTAGAGCATCTCCAACCCAACGCCAAAAACCCAAATTGACGCAAATCTATCGCCAACACTTCCTCTAATTGAGCGGCAAAGTTAGCGCTATTTTACAATTTACGCCCGCCAATAGATAAGATTATATCTTTATTAAGATCCACAATATATTACAAGAGAATATATTTTACAAGAGGACTCTCAGAAGATAACACTCAGCACTCTAACTTCTTATTATTTTTCTCACACTTAAGCACACCTCCACTCGTCTGCCCTTCCTTTGTATTTATAGACGTCCGAAGATTCCCTTGAAAGCGACATTCCTCCTTTTCTCGAAACGTCTTCAGAAGTGGCGAAATAATTATACAATAATTTAAAAGCGACCCACACATTTAACAGTAGCCGCATTACGCCGCATTAAGCATAGTAAAGTTGATGGCGACATTATTCTTCCTTTAAGGAAAGTAACTTTTGTAAAGCTGCTTTATAAAGCTGCTTTAAGAGATGCTAGATGGCTCCCCGAGGCTCAATCTAGTATTTAGTCTGCTTATAAAGCTAGGCTTTTACCTTTAAGGTCTGAGGGGTTATTAAAAATTTCTGCCCAGATTTCTTCGGGGTCTTGGGCATCTTGAATATGATCCAGACCAGGTGTATCTTCTTCCATGGAAGAAACATGACTATTAGTCTCTGGTTCGTCAAAGGCTTCAAAGAACTGCCTTTTAAAATATTCTAGACATTTTTGCTTAATTTCAGCTTCAGAGTTTTGAGGATATTTTCTCCTTATTAAAGCTGCCATCTTTGTCATAGGATTATCTCTTTTGACTTCTTGAGTCATATTTGACTCTAATAGAGATTTATTTCTCTGAATAATTTCTTCTAATTCTTTAACTTTGGTCTCGAGACAGATCCCATTCCACCATCTGCAGTGGTACGTTCTTTTAAGAATAGGAATATGTGATGGGGTCCAGTCACATATAAGCGACCAATTCCAAATCCAAGGAATCTCTACTTCTGCAAAGAAGTGTGCAAAGCACATGCCATCTATAAGCTGGCTTTCATCCATTCGTGATAATTTTGGATGGCTGTCGACCCATGAAGAATATAACTTCGGAAGGGGTTCGGGAATAATTGCAAGTTCAATTCCATAAGTTTCCCACCATTTATAAAACCAATTAGGAACTCCCTTTTGAAGGGTTTCAGGACATAGTTTGATAAGCCATGTATGCTTTTGTTTTGGGTTCTGATATAAGAACAAATCAAAGAAAGCTTGTTTATAGTCCCAATAGTTGAATTTATAAACTTCTTTTGTAGCTTGAACTTTTACCAACGGTAATTCTTTTGTAGCTGTACAACTCCAAGGAGAATAATGCTGCTGAAAGAGAAAGAGGTGTTCCACGTTTAGTTATAAACTACAAACCTCTGAATTCTGTCCTTAAATGGATAAGATATCCAATTCCTAATAAAAGGGATTTATTAAATCGCATTACTAATGCTAAATTTTTTTCTAAGTTTGATTTAAAATCAGGTTACTGGCAAATCCAGATAGAAGAAAAAGATAAGTATAAAACTGCTTTTGTTGTCCCATTTGGATATTATGAATGGAATGTCATGCCTTTTGGGCTTAAAAATGCCCCTTCTGAATTTCAAAATATTATGAATGATATTTTTATTCCTTATACGGATTTTATTCTATCTTATATAGATGATATTTTGATCTTTTCTAATAGTTTAGATCAACATGTTAAATATTTAGAAACCTTTAGATCTCTAGTCATAAAAAATGGGTTAGCTATATCTGCCCCAAAAATGAAATTATTTCAAATTCAGATTAGATTTCTGGGTCATAATATTAACAAAGGAACAACTATTCCTATTGATAGAAGTATTGAGTTTGTGTCAAAATTCCCAGATGAAATAACTGATATAAAATAATTACAAAGATTTTTGGGAGCTTTAAATTATGTGGTTGATTATTATAAAGATCTAGCAAAAGATACTGTTCTTTTATATGATAGGCTTAAAAAGAATGTTAAGCCATGGACACAGCAACATACTACTGCGGTAAGAAAAATTAAACTTAAAGTTAAAAACTTACCTTGTATTCATCTTGCAAATATTCACTGGTTGCGGTAAGAAAAATTAAACTTAAAGTTAAAAACTTACCTTGTATTCATCTTGCAAATATTCACTGGTTTAAAATAGTTGAAACAGATGCTTCAAATATTGGTTATGGTGGTATATTAAAACAAGTGGACCCACAAACCAAAAAAAAACAATTAGTTCGTTTTACCTCTGGTAAATGGGATAAAGCCCAGTTTAATTATTCGACAATTAAAAAAGAAATGTTATCTATTTTAAAAAGTTTCTCTAAATTTAGAGACGATATTCTTAATCAAGAATTTTTACTAAGAATAGATTGTAGTTCTGCCAAAAGTATTATTGAAAAAGATGTTAAAAATCTTGTCTTAGATGGCAAGCAGAATTAGCAATGTATCAATTCAAAATTGAACATATTAAAGGTGACTCTAATCATCATCCAGATTTTCTAACTCGTGAATTTTTACAGGGTACAAATGAGACGGAGTAATCCCTCCTTTTCAGGGAGGGGGAGAGGAGGCAGCAGCAACAGCCCAAATTCTACTTTTGACCTCATAGGTCAAGAAGCAATACCAAATAGGAGTCATACTCTATCTCAACAGCCAACATCTTGGCGAACTATTACGAAGAAGCATAACTCTTCTCATACTAAAGCCTTTTATAAAGGTGTACGAGATATCGTAGATCAGGAAAATACTCCTGAACCTTTTACTAATATAGTAAAAGAGGAAACTAAATGGTTCGAAAAATCTCATATAGATATAGTTCTATATTTAGAACCCGAAGATATTGCTTTAATGCAAGAACCAGAAACAATTCGACAAAGATATCTTCACGATACTTACTATCCTACTCTTTCTCTAAAATCAAGAGCATGGATAAGGACTTTATTAAGTAAAAAAGGAATGAAAATAACCTATTTTTGGACTACAGAAAATCATTCTGTTCCTCCTGGATTTAGCAAATGTGTTATCAGAGAAGTTATACTTCCTCGCAATTGGGCTATAAACCCCAATGAAGAATTACCGTTGGTAAGAGTTCAAGCTACAAAAGAAGTCTATAAATTCAACTATTGGGACTATAAACAAGCTTTCTTTGATTTGTTCTTATATCAGAACCCAAAACAAAAGCATACATGGCTTATCAAGCTATGTCCTGAAGCCCTTCAAAAGGGAGTTCCTAATTGGTTTTATAAATGGTGGGAAACTTATGGAATTGAACTTGCAATTATTCCCGAACCCCTTCTGAAGTTATATTCTTCATGGGTCGACAGCCATCCAAAATTATCACGAATGGATGAAAGCCAGCTTATAGATGGCATGTGCTTTGCACACTTCTTTGCAGAAGTAGAGATTCATTGGATTTGGAATTGGTCGCTTATATGTGACTGGACCCCATCACATATTCCTATTCTTAAAAGAATGTACCACTGCAGATGGTGGAATGGGATCTGTCTCGAGACCAAAGTTAAAGAATTAGAAGAAATTATTCAGAGAAATAAATCTCTATTAGAGTCAAATATGACTCAAGAAGTCAAAAGAGATAATCCTATGACTAAGATGGCAGCTTTAATAAGGAGAAAATATCCTCAAAACTCTGAAGCTGAAATTAAGCAAAAATGTCTAGAATATTTTAAAAGGCAGTTCTTTGAAGCCTTTGACGAACCAGAGACTAATAGTCATGTTTCTTCCATGGAAGAAGATACACCTGGTCTGGATCATATTCAAGATGCCCAAGACCCCGAAGAAATCTGGGCAGAAATTTTTAATAACCCCTCAGACCTTAAAGGTAAAAGCCTAGCTTTATAAGCAGACTAAATACTAGATTGAGCCTCGGGGAGCCATCTAGCATCTCTTAAAGCAGCTTTATAAAGCAGCTTTACAAAAGTTACTTTCCTTAAAGGAAGAATAATGTCGCCATCAACTTTACTATGCTTAATGCGGCGTAATGCGGCTACTGTTAAATGTGCGGGTCGCTTTCAAATTACTGTATAATTATTTCGCCACTTCTGAAGACGTTTCGAGAAAAGGAGGAATGTCGCTTTCAAGGGAATCTTCGGACGTCTATAAATACGAAGGAAGGGCAGACGAGTGGAGGTGTGCTTAAGTGTGAGAAAAATAATAAGAAGTTAGAGTGCTGAGAGTCCTCTTGTAAAATATATTCTCTTGTAATATATTGTGGATCTTAATAAAGATATAATATTATCTATTGGCGGGCGTATAAAGATATAATATTATCTATTGGCGGGCGTATAAAATGAGTATCCTTGTCATAGGAGGGGATTTCCTCCTTGACGCCTCTAAAATCATATGATTGAGCGACATAATGGATGATCCGCTCCGTTGAACTTGATCTACATATTCTAAAACCCCAACACAACAAGTTTTGGGTGAACCCGTCATCGTTTGACCCTTCATCCACTCGTATCAATTTTAACGGTTTTGAATGAATAGAACTTTTCACATGGCTCGATGGAGGGTCAAACGACGACGGATTCACCCTAAAATTGGTGTGTTGGGGTTTTAGAATATGTAGATCAAGTTCAACGGAGCGGATCATCCATAATATCGCTCAATCATGTGATTTTAGAGGCGTCAAGGAGGAAATCCCCTCCTATGACAAGGATACCCATTAATATCTCTCTCTCTCTCTATATATATATATATATATACACGCGCATACGTAGTATACAAAAATACTATAATTATGTATATATTTCTTCTTATGAATAATTAATTAAACAGTTCAATATTAGCAATTATGAGCCATAATAAATGTGAAATAATTAATTTCTATTATTCCTTAATTATAATTATTTAGTAAATTTGGTAATAGTAATTATATGTCTAATATATAATTAATTAGTTAGACACAATATGATATTGAAAAGATAATATTTTTTATCATTTGACAACTATCATAATTTTATAAGGTATTGATTTACCAAACATACAACTACACTTTCTTGTTTTTTAGACTGGTTCATCTTATGTTGCTGTGGGGTTGCCCACAGTGATGATGGTATTTGATGTGTCTAATTGCATTTTGATCCGATTTGTTTGAAACTTTAAATCTCTTGCACATTCCACAAGTTTAGCATAGAGGCTAAAC